AAGACTCGATCTGATATTTCAGTTTAATTGTTCTTTCTGAGGAAATATTGGTTTTTGTTCTTTTCTGAAAACAAGAATAATGTTTGGAACAAAACATAATGAAACTTTTTTAAAAATAATTAAATGAAATGTTTTTAAACAATGAAATTGTTAGAAAGACGAACGAAATCTTTTTGAGAAGGCGAATAAAATTTTGAGAAAGAAAAAGAAGTTTTCTAAAACAGATAACAATTTTTTAACACAAAAAAAATGAAATTTTGTTAAAAATAAAGAAAATGAAATTTTGTTAGAAATAAAACTAATGAAATTTTGATAAAAATAAAGAAAATGAAATTTTGTTAAAAATAAAAGCAAAGAAATTTTGTTAAAAATAAAAGCAATGAAATTTTATTAAAAATAAAAGCAATGAAATTTTATTAAAAATAAAAGCAATGAAATTTTATTAAAAATAAAAGCAATGAAATTTTATTAAAAATAAAAGCAATGAAATTTTATTAAAAATAAAAGCAATGAAATTTTATTAAAAATAAAAGCAATGAAATTTTATTAAAAATAAAAGCAATGAAATTTTATTAAAAATAAAAGCAATGAAATTTTATTAAAAATAAAAGCAATGAAATTTTATTAAAAATAAAAGCAATGAAATTTTATTAAAAATAAAAGCAATGAAATTTTATTAAAAATAAAAGCAATGAAATTTTATTAAAAATAAAAGCAATGAAATTTTATTAAAAATAAAAGCAATGAAATTTTATTAAAAATAAAAGCAATGAAATTTTATTAAAAATAAAAGCAATGAAATTTTATTAAAAATAAAAGCAATGAAATTTTATTAAAAATAAAAGCAATGAAATTTTATTAAAAATAAAAGCAATGAAATTTTATTAAAAATAAAAGCAATGAAATTTTATTAAAAATAAAAGCAATGAAATTTTATTAAAAATAAAAGCAAAGAAATTTTGTTAAAAAGAAAAGCAATTAAATTTTGTTAAAAATAAAAGCAATGAAATTTTAATAAAAATAAATGTAATGAAATTTTAATAAAAATAAAAGCAAAGAAATTTTGATAAAAATAAACGCAATGAAATTTTGTTAAATAGAAAAGCAAAGAAATTTTGTTAAAAATAAAAGCAAAGAAATTTTGTTAAAAAGAAAAGCAATGAAATTTTGTTAAAAATAAAAGCAATGAAATTTTATTAAAAATAAAAGCAATGAAATTTTTATAAAAATGAAAGCAATGAAATTTTGATAAAAATAAAAGCAATGAAATTTTGTTAAAAATAAAAGCAATGAAATTTTGTTAAAAAGAAAAGCAAAGAAATTTTGTTAAAAATAAAAGCAAAGAAATTTTGTTAAAAAGAAAAGCAATTAAATTTTGTTAAAAATAAAAGCAATGAAATTTTCTTAAAAATAAAAGCAATGAAATTTTGTTAAAAATGAAGTCAATGAAATCAATTTATATACTCTGAAAATTCTGCAAATTACCAAAAATAAATGATCAATCATGAAGATTATACAAATTACAAAATTGTAAAAAATATATACATAACCTCACAGATTTTGACACACTAAAATATTACAATATATATAATTTTATGCAAATACAATTATGTTAAAAATCCTATATTCCATAACGAAAAAGATATGAACAACAAAAAATCCCAACCTATAAAAATTTATCATCGTCCCCATGAAATCACCATAACCTTAATCTCCCAATTACATGCCCGTTAATTTCCCTCCCAACAGCATCTTAAATCTTAATATCAATTCCGCAAGTCAGTTCGGTCAATGGTTGTTTTCGTTGAAAAACCCTTCAATTCAGAATCGTTCCTCGTTTGCATTATACATCGATAATCGCAATATCGTTTCCAACATTCATATCGATATTTTATTCGCAGTCAGCATCGTAAACAGATCTGGTTGATTAAATCGCAACACAGGGTTATAAGGCAGGATTTAAATAAAGATAACGAGCCGGTCCGTGTCGCGACCGTTCCGTTTCATATTCATTAATTATTTCATAGAATCGGGGAAGAAAGCTTCTCTAGAAACGGTCTTTGCTCGTCGAACCATTATGGCCTCTTTTTCCATCGCGTTCTGCCTATTACTTCTGCTCCCGCAGCACTCATCTTTTATAGCCGTTTCCCTCTTCCGTTCCGATGTTTTCCTTTATCTCGAAGCGCGTGTTCCGACTGGGGATCGATACCGAAGCGATTTCGCTCCTGAAAATTGCTCCTTCTTCGATCTCGCTTTTTTCACGAATTGTTGTTCCTGGCGTCGCAGACGTCTGCGGCTTTAATTGTCGGTAAAAATGGATTAACGGGAATTAGGTTCTCGGGTTGAATCGAAACGAGAGGCTTTTGAAGACGTTTTTGCGCGCCGTCGATTCACCGCAATCTCGACTTCCGTTTTACCCGCGGAATTCGTCTTGCGAACCGAGAATACTAAATGGGCGAAATCTTCGGAGAAAGTAGTAGATTCGAATCGGGATTTACGGTCGTTTCATGAACGAATTTATTATGTGGAATACGCCGCCATTTTTAATTTTCACGTTCGATTTCTTTTGTCAGTTTTTACGTTGGATTACGTTTTTTTAATTGGGTTAGATTAGGTTTCTTTTGTACTTTTTTAGTTGGGTTAGGTTAGATGTTGTGCTTTTTTAGTTGGGTTAAGTTAGGTGTTGTGATTTATTAGTTGAGTTAGGTTTTGTAAGTTTTTATTTGGGATAGTTTAGGTTTTGCACTTTTTTAGTTGGGTTAGATTAGGTTTTGTACTCTTTTAGGTGAGTTAGGTTAGGTGTTGTACTCTTTTACTTGAGTTAGGTTAGGTTTTATACTCTTTTAGTTGAGTTAGATTAGGTTTTGTACTCTTTTAGGTGAGTTAGGTTAGGTTTTGTACTTTTTTAGTTGGGTTAGGTTAGGTTTTGTAAGTTTTTACTTGGGTTAAGTTAGGTTTTGTACTTTCTTACTTGAGTTAGGTTAGGTTTTGTAAGTTTTTACTTGGGTTGAGTTAGGTTTTGTACTATTTAGTTGGGTTAGATTAGGTTTTGTACTCTTTTAGTTGAGTTAGGTTAGGTTTTGTGCTTTTTTAGTTGCGTTAGGTTAGGTGTTGTACTTTCTTACTTGAGTTAGGTTAGGTTTTATACTCTTTTAGTTGAGTTAGGTTAGATTTTATACTCTTTTAGTTGAGTTAGTTTAGGTTTTGTACTCTTTTAGTTGAGTTAGGTTAGGTTTTGTGCTTTTTTAGTTGCGTTAGGTTAGGTGTTGTACTTTCTTACTTGAGTTAGGTTAGGTTTTATACTCTTTTAGTTGAGTTAGGTTAGGTTTTGTACTATTTAGTTGGGTTAGGTTAGGTTTTGTGCCTTTTTACTTGGATTAGGTTAAGTTTTGTACTATTTTGTTGGGTGAGGTTAGGTTTTGTACTCTTTTAATTGAGTTGGGTTAAGTTTTGTACTCTTTTAATTGAGTTAGGTTACGTTTTATACTCTTTTAGTTGAGTTAGGTTAGGTTTTGTACTTTTTTAGTTGGGTTAGGTTGGGTTTTGTGCTTTTTTAGTTGGGTTAGGTTAGGTTACGTTTTGTACTTTTTTCGTTGAATTAGGTTAGGTTTTGTACGTTCTTACTTAACGCAGGTTAGGTTAACTTAAGTTACGTTATGTTGTATTATTTTGTGGTATGTTATTTTAAGTTAGGTTATAGTCAAAGTTATTATACAAAATAAGAGTTGTATTATTTACAAGAATTTGACCTTATAATCTGATAAAATTTATTACATAAACTCATTTATATTTTTAATACAATATTAATAATTTATTGGATCTGAGTTTTGAAACTTGACTTTTGATTTGAACAAAAAAAATTTTTGCTCTATATGATTTTATTATTCATTTACCAATAAATACAATGTTTGCATTTCATTTATTATTCAATGTCTGAATAAATTTTTATACCAATATTTTCTAATTTTTTTGCACTAAATATTAGTCATTTTATGTTTTGAAATACACAATTCTTTGAAGTAGTTTTTTTTTATATATTCAATTATGATCTTTAAATTAATAAACCATAATAAAATTAGTTGCATGCGAATCACACAATAAAATTATTTAACATGACCTAAACATTGACCTCAAAATTTAACTTTAAAATCAGCGATTCAATGAATTTCGCAATACCCCGACAATAGTTCGTTAATTACAGTTAGTCGAACGATTAAAGTACACCGCAATTGAAGGCTGTTTGCTTAATGAAGATACCCGCAAACGAGTCTAATTTGTTATCTCGAACCGCGCAATAAAGGGGTGCGTTTTTTAAACGGGAACGACGGTTTAAAAGTCCCGCCGCTACATTTGACTAATGAGGAGGACGACAAGAAGAAGCACCGTGGGGTCCTCGTGAACGAAAATAAAATTTACCCTGTGATCGAGTAAACAAAGATTAATCATAGCTCGAGGCGCGCGAGGGGAGAGACTTAATTTCGACAAGAAAACTCATTCGTCTCGTTCGCGTCCTGGATGTCAGCTTTTGTTAATTATTTTTATTCGATCTATCTTCTCGGATCTCGAGTTCTTCCTTTCCCTCTTTTCTATCTGCTTGCGGTAATATTTTTTCTGTCGGTCATTACACTTTTCTGTAAATACTATGTTTGTGCTGCAGTACATGTAACAAAATTTTTAAAATTTGGGGAAAATTAAGAAGCTTGAGAATTTGGAGAAATTTAAGAATCTTGAGGGTTTCGAAATACAACCATGTATAATGTACATTAAAATGTTATATGTACATTTTGTACCGCGCCTCGCAAGCCCCCAGCAAAATTTATGCAAATGGCTATTTAAGATAACAAAAGCCTTCATGTAAATTGGCTTCTTAAAGATAAAGAAAAAAAAGGGGGAGACTTGGTCGTCGATTCTTACGTCGAAGATAAGAAGTTTGAGCTTCTGCAACGAGATTTTATCGACTTTAGGGTCGAAACACAAAGGTGGGGTTTAAATTTACTTACCACCCTCTATGGAGATCGGTGTGATCGTAGTGTCACCCCCTTTGATCTGCACGTTTCCGCGATACCAAACGATCGTCGCAGCAGGTTTCGCAGACCTGACAACGCATTCCAAACGACGGGATTCGCCAACCTTTACCTCGATCTTCTTCTTGTTTGGGTAATTACTGATTTCCACCTTCTGGGGACGTGCTGTAACAAGAATAAATCAATTTACGTTAGTACAAATGTAATTTAAGATAAGAGATATTTATTATAAGAGAAAACATTTTTTATAGAGTATTTAATACAGTACAGAGTATAAGTATTTTGGCAAAGAGATACATTCATTGCTCTGCATACATTGATCATATGTTTTATATCTTCGTTATTTTCCTAAATATCTGAAATTCTTTCCAACTCGGATAATGTGGAAGTTGTAAACTAGTCTTGGAGTAGGCAGACATTTTCTATGGCGTCCAAATTTCACTTCTAGCGCCATCGATACTCCTAACGTAAACGCTCGCACCCTAAATCGCTCATCACCCACGCAATTTATTATCACGGTAACAAATTGCTATGCATATGTTACCAACTTATTTAGTAATAATTTCGACCTAAGACAATTTTCCATGTGTGATATAATTATAGCCATACAAGTGAAATTTTCGTACGTGGTAATTCGATGGCCAGGGACTGTATAATAGTCATACCCGTCATCCGCATCATCACAGCAGTCACATTTCCAGCTTCCCTATATCAATAGTCTTAAGGCTGTTATAGTCAAGCTATTATAGCCATCATCATCACCATAATTGTCACAGCCATTATCAGGATCATAACTGTTAGTATCCACGTTTTTAGCTTACTTACATCAATAGTCTTAAGGCTGCTATAGCCATCAATGTTATAGCCATAAAAGTGAAATTTTACGTGGTCCTAATTCGATGGCCAGATTGTATATGAATTGCGTCACATACCTGTCGAATAGTATGATTGTGAATGGTAACCTTGCACTATGATTTGTCAGGTGCGTAAATAATCACTACAATATTAAAACAAGTTTCTGACAACGTTTAACGTTTTACGACGCGATCGAGAGGTCGGCCATTTTGCTTCAGAAATCATCTGTCGATGCGATGATAAATCAGAAGCGGGACGAAATTTATATTTTCGTTATTTTCCTAAACAATTCTTTTCAACTCGGTAACGTGGAAAGTTGCAAACTAGTCTTTGAGCAGGCAGACATTTTCTATGGCGTTCAAATTTCACCTCCAAACGCCATCGATACTCCTAACGTTAAACGCTCGCACCCTAATCGCTCATCACCCGCACAATTTATTATCACGGTAACAAATTGCTATGTACATGTTATCAACGTATTTAGTAATAATTTCGACCTAAGACAATTTTCCGTATGTGACATAATTATAGCCATACAAGTGAAATTTTCGTACGTGGTAATTCGATGGCCAGGGACTGTATAATAGTCATACCCGTCATCCGCATCATCACAGCAGTCACATTTCCAGCTTCCCTATATCAATAGTCTTAAGGCTGTTATAGTCAAGCTATTATAGCCATCATCATCACCATAATTGTCACAGCCATTATCAGGATCATAACTGTTAGTATCCACGTTTTTAGCTTACTTACATCAATAGTCTTAAGGCTGCTATAGCCATCAATGTTATAGCCATAAAAGTGAAATTTTACGTGGTCCTAATTCGATGGCCAGATTGTATATGAATTGCGTCACATACCTGTCGAATAGTATGATTGTGAATGGTAACCTTGCACTATGATTTGTCAGGTGCGTAAATAATCACTACAATATTAAAACAAAGAAAGTTGAAATGTTATGTCAACTTGGTATTATGCGTTGACCATGCAAATTGGACTTGAAGTCTGAAATGTAAAATATTCGAGTAAAATTGATCACAGCTGAGGTACGAATATGACAAAAGTGCGTCACGAGTGCGTCACGAATGCGTAAAGATTGCGTCATGAATGAGTTAAGATTGCATCAAGAGTGAGTCAGGAGTGCGTCAAGGGTGCATCAGAAGTTCGTCAGAGGTGCGTCAAGAGTGCGTTAGGAGTGTGTCACGTATCCGTCAGTAGTGCGTCACAAGTGCATCATGAGTGCGTCATAGGGACGTCAAGACTGCGTCAAGAGTGCGTCATAGGGACGTCAAGAGTGCGTCATAGCGACGCCAAGAGTGCGTCAAGAGTGCGTCATAGGAACGTCATAGAAACGTCAAGAGTTCGTCAAGAGTGCGTCACGAATACATTAAGAGTGCGTCACGATTATGTCAAAAGTTGTCTCGAGTGCGTCATGAATGTGTCAAGAGTGCGTCTCGAGTGCATCAAGGGTGTGTCTCAAATTCATGATGAGTGCATCACAAATGTATTAAAAGTGCGTCACGAGTGTATTAAGAGTGCGTCACGATTATGTCAAAAATTATCTCGAGTGCGTCCCGAATGTGTCCCGAATGCGTCAAGAGTGTGTCACGAGTGTGTCACGAGTTCGTCACGAATATGTCAAGAGCGCGTCTCGAATGCGTCAAGAGTGCGTCACGAGTGCGACCAAAGTGCGTCACGAATGCGTCAAAAGTGTTCAGTAATAATTTTGACTTAAAACAATTATCCATATGCAACATAATTAAAACCACAAAAGTGAAATTTTACGTAGTATTCGATGGCCAGTGCTACAACAAAATGGCAGCCTATGCAAACGAACAAATCACCCAAACCCACGTGTATCGATTTAATTTGAAGCGATATTAAGGAAGATACAAAGGTAAAGTTCGATCCAGTAAACAAAACGCGTGCATCGATTAGAGGAGATAGAGGCGAATGGTAAAAGCTTAATACGATGAAAGGAGGGTCCATCATTATAAGTAGAAGTTTAAAGGGAACAAAGGAGCGGCGGAATTTGCGAGTTCAATGTAGTAGAAGCAGGTATAAAGTCTGTTTGTAATGTAAGAGGTACTAGACAAACACGAAACTTTAGTGGAACGAGGGAAAGGCTCGAAATCTACATTTAATACGATACGGAGAGAGGAAAAGGAAGCGGGAACGTAAAATCCCCAAGTTTAATATAAGTAGATGAGAGACCTAAAATCCAAATATTAATCTTGTAAAAGCTGCACGACGAATGCACGAGATCCGACGACTTATCCGTAACGGGAGAACTATCTGCTAAAAACGTAAATTTAATCGAGCTGAAGATAGCAAAACTAGAAATGCAAATCCGAAAGCTTAATGTACCGTGCCCGGGAAATTTAAAGTCGCTTCAGACGGGATACTTGACTCTGCCGTCAACAGCCGTCCATGAATTGTCGTACAAGAGGGAGTATTTCAACGAAAGGTAATCTTTTAATTCCACTAATTTATAATTTTCACAATAACTTTCAATTTTCTTTCATCTTTCAATTTACAAATTTTTCTATTTTTGAAATTTCAAACTTGCAAATATGGAAATTGTTTAATTTGCGACTTTAATGAAATGCACAAAGTAGCAACGAAGACATGCAACTGACGAGTCCACCAGAAAATATTCTCCATTGTTTGTTTATAATAAGCAACGAGTGGAACGTGGTTCGGAGACACTTGAACCAATTCCACCGGGCATTTATGTTATGAATATTGCCAGTTAATTATTCGCGGAATGAAATGAAAGACTTTGTATTAAAATAAGTTAATGAAACGTTACCAATTAAGCGCGGTACCAATTAAATGCACATATTGTCCTAAAGTTCAAGATACGCTGTATGCTAAATATTATTTACAAGGCTTTGTAATAATAATAATTAAGCATAATCGTATTGGGATTGATCGATTATTTAACAATGTTGGATATTTAAACAATATCTCATTTTGAATAATATGAACTTTTTATGGTTGAGGTTTGATTCACTTTTTATGCATTGTTCGACTTTTTTCAATTAGAATTTTAGAATCCCCAGTTCAAAATTGCCAAGTTTACAAGGTATCAAGTTTAAAAGATATGAAGGCATGCTGTTACCAAGTTATCAAGTTATTAAGTTACCAAGGATATCAAGGTATCAGTTTCCAAAGTATCAAGTTTCAAAGTTATCAAGCTTCCAAGTTATCAGGTTTGCAAGGTATCAAGTTTACAAGATATCAAGTTACCAAATTATCACGTTTCCAAGGTATCCAGTTTCCAAGACATCAAGTTTACAAGGTATCAAGTTTCCAAAGTATTAAGTTTCCAAGATATCAAGTTTACAAGGTATCAAGTTTACAAGACATCAAGTTTCCAAAGTATCAAGTTTCCAAGGTATCAAGTATCCAAGATATCAAGTTTCCAAGATATCGAGTTTCCAAGCTATCAAGTTTCCAAGCTATCAAGTTTCCAAGGTATCAAGTTTCCAAGGTGTCAAGTTTCCAAGATATCAAGTTTCCAAGGTATCAAGTCTCCAAAGTATCAAGTTTCCAGGATATCAAGTTGCCAAGTTATCAAGTTATCAAGTTATCAAGTTATCGATTTACTAAGTTGTCAAGGTATCAAGTTACCAAGTTACCAAGTTACCAAGTTACCAAGTTATCAAGTTACCAAATTGTCAAGTTACTAGTTGTAAGTTACCAAGTTATAAAGGTACTAAGTAACCATGTTATCAAGATATCAAGTTATCAAGTTATCAAGCTATCAAGTTACCAAGTTATTAAGGTATCAAGTTACCAAGTAACCAAGTTATCAAGGTAATTTGCGAGTTCAATGTAGTAGAAGCAGGTATAAAGTCTGTTTGTAATGTAAGAGGTACTAGACAAACACGAAACTTTAGTGGAACGAGGGAAAGGCTCGAAATCTACATTTAATACGATACGGAGAGAGGAAAAGGAAGCGGGAACGTAAAATCCCCAAGTTTAATATAAGTAGATGAGAGACCTAAAATCCAAATATTAATCTTGTAAAAGCTGCACGACGAATGCACGAGATCCGACGACTTATCCGTAACGGGAGAACTATCTGCTAAAAACGTAAATTTAATCGAGCTGAAGATAGCAAAACTAGAAATGCAAATCCGAAAGCTTAATGTACCGTGCCCGGGAAATTTAAAGTCGCTTCAGACGGGATACTTGACTCTGCCGTCAACAGCCGTCCATGAATTGTCGTACAAGAGGGAGTATTTCAACGAAAGGTAATCTTTTAATTCCACTAATTTATAATTTTCACAATAACTTTCAAT